AAAATTTGGGGTGTTCGTATAATTATGAACCGCACTTTATCAATAACCCGCTTTTCCAGACGTGAGAAGTGCTATTTGGGCGGACCGCGTATGCCTGCAGTGCGCGATTGGCTCGTGAATGGAGATACCGTACCCACCGTACGCACCAATCGCGCTCTAGAAGGCAGGCATACGCGGTCCGCCCAAATAGTACTTTTCAGGTCTGGAAAATCTAGTTATTGACATCTTTTGAAGCTGCAAAGCACAGTCTTGGACTTAGTCCATCCAGTAGAACCGAGTACGATGGGTATCCCAAAGGTGTCATTCTGCCGAGCAAGGCTGTCTTACTCTGATACATATCTACGCACCGTCTTACATGCCCTAAGTACGACTACATTTGCAGTTCACTAATCTTTAGTTGGTAATGGTCACTACAGAAGCGTATTTTGTGGTTTTGCGTCGTTGTAAATTAGTAATCACCGGAAAGTTACGATGAAAAGACACAGATACTTTTAGAAATACAAGCTGGAAGCTTCCAAATACTGGGTATTTTCAGGAGCATATCCAAAGTGGATGACGTCAATATGGAGTACTCCCTTCACTTTACATTCCGAGAAGAGTGGGTGGACGAGCGGTTGTACTTCAGCAGTCCCAAACTGTCGCATATCGTGCTCTCACCTGGACAGAGGATCTGGGTAGGTTGCATTTCTTTTCGGATACTTGTGTAATCTGACTAAGAGATTTTTTTGGTTATGTAAAAAGACCCGGCTTGGTGCGATAAAAAGAGGGTATCTCTCATATGTTCCCTAAAAAGGTTCTTAGTCGTTATAACGAGCTGACATACGCACGCGACTTCTTCTACAGCGGGGAGAAATAGAGTATTAATAGTAAGTAAGTAGTAATAGAGCATCAATTTCGAGCGCCAAAACATGCAAAGAAATATGGGCGATGCAGATCATATGGTGTATATGTTATATGATGCGGTCTCTGGCTGAGGAAAGGACTAACATTAGCACCGCCCCTAAGTTCTCTTTTCCACTATAAATTTTCTGAAATGCAAATTATGCGTCTTACTGCCAGATTGTGGAGTTTGCCTTGAAGTAAAATCGAGCTAGTGAAATGCTTTTTTTTCTGCGTAGAATCCTAATTTGTATGGAATGGATTACACACACTGACATGAGCTTGGAACAATAACGAAATGCAGATCCAGGTAAATGTGAGTACGGCCTTACACATGGATACTGTCGAAAGATCCTATAGCACATGAGTCATTTTCCAGTGGCAGCTTATGAAATTTCATTCATGAAGTTACAATACCAACTCTTACAATACCGCTCGTATTTGAAAAAATCACTGCACTCCGCCAGTGTTCGCCGAACTTTGGTTGCCTCGCTATATTTTGCTTCGGAGTAGGCAAATTCTCAATTCAAAAGCACCTCTTAACCCAGCTCGACGAGGTGCATCTTTTGAAGTATAGAAGTGCGTGTTGGGCACATAGTTGGTCAAATCTCAGAGATCATTCCAGATTCTTGCTCACTGGCTCAAGGTAGGTTACTCAGAGTGTGAATCATTGCACAACGACTAATCTACCTAGGCAAAAATCTGGAATCCTTGAAATTTGGCCAACTATCGTGCCCAAACAGGCGCTTTTCATATCAGAAGATGCAACTCATTGAGCTGAGTTCAATGGTGCTTCTCGATTGAGAATTTATCCACTACGAAGCAAGACAGGGCGATTTAACAAAAGTTCGGCGGACTACGGAGTGCAGTGCTTTTTTCACAAATTACGAGCGGTATTGTAACTGTCGCTCAATCCTTATTCTTTTCGTGGGACCCATGAGTACACTTGGGTGGTAGCCGTGGAAAAGCTTGAATACTTCTGAATGATGTTAAGCCCGTTCAACAGTTTTGATTATGAATTAAGTCTTTAACAAGCCCTTTTTTATAATTTTCTATCAAGAATATGCATGACTTTCGTTTCAGGTGCCAGATACATTCTTCCAAAATGAAAAAGATGGTAAAAAACATGATATCGACACACCGAATATCTTGATCCGAGTGCACAATGGGACTGGACGAATACTCTACTCGTGTCGCTTAACTCTCACTCTCAGCTGCCCAATGAAGTAAGAGAAGTATGATCATAAAATTCACTAAGCCAGATGCTTGCAGATTAGCCGATTATCCTCTTGACGTGCAGACTTGTGTAGTCGATTTTGCATCTTATGCGTACACTACTAAAGATATAGGTGAGACTGCTATTTTTTTCAATACCAAAAGATCTATGTCGTTAGTTCAAATAAGCCGGGCGCGTGTCAAAATGAATTCATTTTTTCTTGATTTTTTTGCTTGATTCGGTACCCTTGACTTCTAAATTTTCAAGAAGTGAGTTCAAAATGCAGCTGAAAGGAGAGCTTTTGTGGGTTTTGAGCCAAGTGCTCAATTGCTGCTTAAACATGCTGAGCTATAAACGGCAAAAGGCAAATAGCGTATAAATTGCCGAAAACTGCACCAATTCAAAATGTTTTTCGTCTAGGTCATGAAACTGGCTTTTCTTAGATCGCATGCAAAGTTTCAATGTCTTCTTCTCGGATTAATTAAAACACTGATTCAGAATACGTCTGGAAGGACGAGAAACCTATCCAAATCAAAGATGGTCTTCGTCAGTCACTGCCTTCATTTTTGCTCAGCAATGTACGAACCGGAAATTGTACATCCGTAACTAATACGGGTAAACTATGCTTCGTTAGTTGCTGAAGGGTAATCTGGAGTCCATACATGTTTTTAGGTGCCTATTCCTGCCTACGAACAATTATTGAACTAAAACGAGAATTCAGTTATTACCTCCTACAATTGTACATACCTTCATTCATGCTTGTTGCTGTGTCATGGGTATCCTTTTGGTAAGTTTGGTCGAAAATGGACAATGCAAACGTTTTTTGATTTTTTGAAGAACAAGTTAACATCGTAGCATTTGCCTTGGTGATCTAATCAATGATTGAGTTTTTTTTTCATTCAATGGATGTTTACATATTGAAGGCTGGACAAAGACTCCGTCCCAGCTAGAGTGACCCTTGGAGTGACCACCCTCCTCACCATGACTACTCAAGCATCGGGTGTAAACGCTAATCTACCTCCAGTCAGCTACACTAAGGCAATTGATATTTGGATTGGAGTATGTTTGGGTAAGCAAGCATGAAAGACTTCAGCTTGCAAACTGCAGAAAATTCTTTAGCTTTCATCTTCGGAGCATTGTTAGAGTTTGCGCTGGTAAATTGGGCAGCTCGACAAGATCTCGCGCAACATGCTTACAGGGCTCGCCAGCAACAAAACTTACATATGTTTTTTAGGTGAGTGGCTCCATTCGCAGCTATATTCCTTGGTATCAAAAGTGATATCATGATCAGTACTCTCTCATAGTGTGGTGAAGATAAAATCTACTATTTGCGCTGAATTCTAGCAAAGACTTGGATGACACTTGTGACATTTAGCAACCAAACCAAGCCTCGCGATTGTATGATTTTGTGGTATCTTTACAACGAGTATCTTGATTTGTAAAAAGTCGCATCTTTGATTCTTTATTTTTTACACATTACTGACAAAAATATCAGGTTGTCGCATTAGTTTCGTCCGTTTTCACTTTTCGTCTCCTTAACTCCCGTATTTCATGATTATCAAAAAAGCTCCGGGGATACCTTCGATATATCAAGGCCAGCTCTATAAATTATCACCCTAACATCCGCGCGGTATTCATTCTACATTGAATCAAAAAATCAAAAGCTGAAACCCGAAAACTTGAAGTAAATCCAGAACTCTGCTCTAAAAAGTTGTGGGAAACTCTTATTCACGCATCTACACCCCTCGTCAACATTCACATGTGCACTTGCCGTATAGTTGCTGTATTTTTTCCAGTGCAAGAACACAATCAGATTAAAAACACGAAAATGTCGATTTTGGGTTTTCTGACCCAAATTTGAAATTTCTAGAAATTTATTACGCGTAGAAGGTAATAAAAATATGTGGTTACTTCTAGGGGCGATGCATCGCTAGAATTCGAGAAAACGAATTGGTATTTTTTTTTCAAAGCAATGCTCAGCTGCTCACATATAAGAATTCCATAGCCTACGTGAGAGCAGCAGCGCAAAATCCAGCTAAGCATCACCCTTAGAGGTATAATCACAAACTTTTTTGCCTTCTACACGTAATTTTTCTAGAAATTCCAACTTTAGGTTAGAAAACCCGAAAAAACGACATTTTCGCATTTTTCGCCTAAACGTGTTTCTCAGTTTCTAGCACTAAAAAATACAGCAAATGCGTAAAACTATTAAATGAAGAGTTTATATACTTCAACAAATCGGACTTCCCAAAGATTTGCAAGCCGTTTTTCAGAATTATTTTGTTGCGGATATGAAAGCTTTTAGTGATTTTTTGAGCTGGAATTAGCTCTTGCAAATGTTTGGATGCCACCTTGCAGGGCTTGCTTTGCCCTATCGAAAGGTATCCCAATGCAAG